GGAGTTACAGAGATTGAAGGTGGGAGAATAGACTGGGTATAGGGGGGGACTGAGGAAAAGATAAAACCTGAACGGGGTTCAAGAAGATAAAAATGGCGATTGCATTTAAATTTTTGAAGATTGTAGTTATCAAGGAGTCAAGGAAACGGAAGGGAGTTCCACTGTCGGGAAGTGCAAGAAAAGAAACTCTTGGTGTAGAAACGGCTGTTACATTTAACTAATTCAACAGTAAAAGGGTGGAACCTAGACGCCAGTCTAGTAGCACGCTTAAATTCATGTTGACCGGGCACTAGGGTAAAAAGTTCTTCAGGATAGTTGCCATGAAAAGGCAGAGAGATCCTACGTCTTGTCGGTGAGAAAGTGACTGGAGTCGAGATGCCAAGTCAGGGTCGATTACATTGCAGATCCTTATTTGGATTTTGTCAAGAACCTCGAAATCGCAGGAGAATCAGACCAGATATGGTAAAAGTATTTCAATGCACGGGCGAATGGTAGGTTTGTGAATGTGCAAGATGGACTCTGACGAGAAAACCTTCTGGCACGGCACAGTGACCCAACTTTCCTTGCAGTAGATGTAGCTATTGATCCGATGTAATCGCTCCACTTCAGGTTAGTTGAAAAAGTGAGACCGAGAAGTCGCAGTGTGTTGCTTTCCATGAGTCTAGCATCAGCCATGCTGATGGCGGCGGGAAAGATTCTCGATGGTGGTTGAATGAGAATACCATCATTTTGGCGGCATTAAAATTTATGAGCAATTTCCTGCCCCTGTTAACCACAGATTGGTGGTCCTTTTTAAGAGCAGTGATCAGTTTAACTTTGTCGACTCTGGAAGATTTGCTATTGAGACAGAAGTAAATGGTAGTGTCATCAGCATAAATGCCTACTTGGGAATTGATGAGATCAGAAAGATCATTGACGAAGATCAGAAACAGCTTAGAACCCAGGAAAGATACCTCGGGGACACCCGCGTTCGTGTGAAAGGATCTGGAATCGATCCCGTTCAAAAAGACCTTCATTTCACGATTTGATAGGAACGATTGGATTAAATCAAATACACGTCGTAGTTCTGGAGCTTACGTAGAAGACCAGTATGTCAAACCCTGTCAAACGCCTTCGAGATATCAAGAGCCGCAGCTTCGGCTTCACTGTTATTATCAAGAGCTTGATGTGCATATTCGGCGGTGGCCGTCAGCATATCAGCGGTAGATATGGCAAAACGGAAGCCATATTGTTTGTCAGAGAGTAGGTAGTGGGAAGTAAGATGCTTAACCACTTCAGCATTAATTAAGGCCTCGAATACTTTGCAGAAACGTGGTAGGAAACTAATAGGGTGATATTTAGAAGGGGTAGAAGGTTTTCCAGAGTTCATAAAAACAAGAACTACAGAGGAGAACTTTAACAAGCAGGAAGCAGTGAGGCAATAGTTGTATAGTTTGGAGAGGACTGGAGCCAGCTCGGGGAACATATCTTTAGGATGATGGCTGGGACACCGTCACTTCCGCTTGTCTTACGGGAGTCTAATTTAGAAATGATGTCTGAGGCCAGCGACAGGTTTATGCGTATATCACCCAGTAGGATCTATGTCCTAATGGGGAAATCAAGCGTGGGTACTCAAAAGGAGACGAGTGCTGAATTGGAAGAGAATTTCCGAGCAAAGCATTCAACCTTGTCTACTGTAGATGTCAGGACTGCGATTGAGGTTTATGTGATTTACATAACAACGTCAGACGGGCTATATATGTGTTCTCGTTTCGCTGCCAATGTCACGAGATATCTCGTCTCGTTCCTTTATAGCATTGCTTGCCTCGTTTCAAGCACACACTGCCCGGTCCAGGGATTGAACTCCCAATCACTATGTCACCCACTTCACGAATCAACACTTTAATTCACTAGTCGATTTCTCCATGGGATATAGTAATTATGAAGTCAATCCCTGTGCTGACGAGTGTCTGCTTAAACTTAGTGAAACAGGAATAATTTATCCCAGGATATTTAATGTAGGTACTCCCTCAAAAAACAAAAAACAAAAACAGGTTTAAAATGAATTTTATAAATGAAAAATCATTCTTGCGGCTTTTATTTTAGTTTTAATTCTAAGCTCATTGATTAAATTTAATATTCTCAGTAAGCAAAATACTTTGCAGTATTTCAAAAACTAATTTAAATTGACTGGAAGGAGTTTTTTTTTTGCTAAAATTGCTGATTAGCTCCCTTTTTTAGTTGTCTATCATCGCAATGTAATTGTCGTTATTAAAATGTTTTTTAGAAATAAAATATACTTTATTGAAACTTTATTCAAGGAATATTAGGGGATTTAAAGTGTAATTAATCTGATTTGAAATAAATATTATTTACTTTAAGTTTAAAATATCGCACAAATACATTTTTAACCCAACAGTAGCTGTTTTGACGTGTCGACAGCCTGGTGATGGATCTAATGTTCTATGAAGACTTTATCTGCAAAACATAATCTAAGAAAATAATCGTGAGCGCCTTTTGTTATATATAATTTTTAGGTACTTAGTAATCTTTAAAAATTACGAAAATATTCTCCGTAAATTAAAATTATTAAATTTTACAAATTTATTATCGTGAAAAGTAAAACATTTTTATATCAAAGACACGTTTCGCTGGAGAAAGCTTATGAAAGAAAAACAAAACTATGCGAGGAAAATGTCTTGGGACCCCTGATGATAGGTGGATAATGTAAATCAAATTAATTACTCAAGATTATCACTTCCTGACTTGAGACTTGAAGAAAACCTGTTTGTTTCTATGCTTGTTTGTATTTTAGGATTTTAAATAAGGACTTTTTATTTATTTTTTGTATATATATATATATATATATATATATATATATATATATATATATATATAAAAAGAAAGAGGTTGTAGTGGTTCCAACGAGAGAAAAGTATGTATATTGAAAAGAAGAGAGGTGCTGCAAACGTTTTTTGGTTGTAATGTGGATTTATTTAGAAAAATATTATGCTTTGTTTTACATAATTTTACTACACGTGTTTCTGGTCTCGCGACCGTCTTCAGGTAAAAGCGGAGATTTCCATATTATTAAAAATAATTAATTTTTTTCTTTTGTTTTTCAATGTTAAATATTCTCGATATGAGACATTTTCTGTGTTAATAATCCGAATTTCTTTCTTGAATTGGCAATGAAGAGTTCTGCGCGAAGGGTCATAAAACAATTAAGGTTGGTCCAAGCGAAATGATGAATTACTTATCGGCATTTTATCTTTTATTGTTTGACTGACCCCTATGTGTTCTTGGATCTGTTTCCATTTTTGTGTGTTTCTCTCAGCATGCGTGTATATATGCGTGCGTATATTCCCCCTCCATACATATATTGTCTTACTACAAGGAATTAGTAAACTCATTTGTACATATACACACATACATACACATACGCACATACACTACCATCCCACCACAAGGAATCAGTATATGTATATACCTAGACATTTAATTTGAATTACCATACCCTCTTATTCTCAGGAATACCAAAACATTTTCCTCACATAGGTTTGTCTTTCTTTTAGTCAAACTAATGATGCCAAAGTGAGCATAAGTTTCTCCGACGAAACGCGTCTTTAATATAAAGATTTCCCATTTTGCCTGATCATCATCAATTTTTACTACGAAAATATTTATAGAAAAGGAAGTGAAGTTACAACCTTGTGCAAATTAATTGAGATAAAACGAATAATTCCGTTATTATTTAACTTTTTCATATTTTTTCCAATGAAACATGACCCAGAGCACATATTAGTATTTCGTATATTCATTCCACGAAGTCGTTCCTTTCAGACTCACAACATATTCTCGATTGGATTTAAATTAGGAGAGTTTCCATGCCAGTCTATAGTACTTTGATTTGCTCATTTGTAAGCCTTGCCAGGTGTCTTCGTGCAGCGTTACAATTTTCGTAAGTTTCCTTGGAGTAACGTCCGTCGCAGACAATGAACGTAGGACAACTAATCGACAGTGGAGACAATAGTGTTTGGGCGGATGACAGGATATTTTTCAAGGCCAAACAAATTTCATCATACACCACTAAAATAGATTCAAATGACTGCACATCATTGCAAATGCCCTAATTTGAGGAAAAAATAGAAATCGATTACAGCTTGTCACTCCAATGGGTCTAAAACTGATCGTATGTGAAAGAAGGACACTAAAGCTGTTATTTCAATTAATTTGCACAGGGGTGTAAAGGTGATTGAAGCTGAAATGCTAAGTCATGGCTGAAAATCGTGAAGATTTTTGGAGGATTTTGTGGGATGCAAGTAAGAGCATTTACGATAATATTTTTTTTAAAAAGAAAAACCCCCTCTTTAATGAAAAAAATGTAATCCTCCTTGCAATCAAATCCAAATATTTTTGACAATAATGATTTGGAATTTTGATATATTCTTCAAGTACGAGTATCTCAGGTACTGGAATGGCTTCTATTGTTTTAACTTTCTGTATTTTAATCATTTAACCGCAAACAAAGGTAATAAAGCCACTAAGACACAAGGGGTTTCGAAGAGAGAAAAAATCTTTATGAAGGAGAACAGGAAAAAAATCTTTATTAAACAAAAGAAAAAATAGCGATTGCCGTTGCATTTAAACTTCGGAAGATGAAAGTTGATTTTAAAGCAAGAAGCCGGAAGAGAGTTCCACAGGCAAGAATTGCAAGAGAAAAGAAAGTGTTAGCATAGAATTTATGGTTACATTTAGTAATTTCAACTGTAAAAGGATGAAACCTAACTGCCAATCTAGTACTGCACTTGAATTCACAAAGTTGAGGTACCAAAGGACAGAAGAGTTACTATGAAAATATTTATGGAAAAGCCACAGGGAGGCGACTTTATTGCGATAGGAAAGTAACTGTAACCAAGATGCCAGGTTAGGACTAATAACGTTGCAGTTTAATCTCCCATCTTTGTAACAAAGAACTTCCTCAAAACGAGACACTGTGAATGGTATATTTTGTGTAATGTTTAGGTTAGAGAAAGAGATAGATAGATAGATAGAGACAGAGTGGGAGAAATAAGGAGAGAGAGAGAGTGAGAAAGAGGGAGAGGGTGAGAGAGAAAAAGAGTGGGTGAGAGAGAAAGAGAGGAAGAGAGAAAGAGTGAGAGAGAAAGGGAGAGTGGGTGAGAGAGACAGTGAGAGAGAAAGAACGAGAGTGTGTGAGAGAGAGTGAGAAAGACAGAGAATGAGCAAAAGAGAGAGAGAGAAAGAGAAAGAATGTGATAGTGAGTTAGAGGGAGAGGGAGACAGTGAGAGAGGGACAGCGAAAGAGTGAGAGAGAGAGCTAGAGGGAGAAAGGAAGAGTGGATGAGAAAAATTGAGAAAAATTGAGAGATAGAGAAAGACAGAGAGTGGGGGAGAGAGTAAGAAAGAGAGTGTTTAAGAGAAATCAATAGAAAAAATAAGGAGAGAGTGGGATAGAGAAAGAGAGAGAGAGGGTGCTAGAGAGAAAGAGAGAGAGAGAAAGAAAGAGAGTAAGAAAGACAGCGAGACAAATAGAGAGAGAAAGTGAGAGAGAATTTTTTTCTTGTTTGGAATTTGCTTTAGAATTGGCTGAAAAACAGGAGGAATATTTTTGTTTACAAACGACAAGACTCCCCCCTCTCTGTTTTTCTCCTTTCTTTTTCCCTGTCTTTTTCCTTTCTTTTTCCATATCCATCGCCATATTTGTCTCGCTTGCGAATCTACCTGTTTCGTTTCACTGTTCCGTTTTTTCTCCCCACCCTACGCACACTCAACATCTTTTTCCTGGAGGATTTGTTTGCATACAACAGGCGGGTCAGCGGTCACCAGGTGTGTTCTATGCTGATTGTATTTTGTATAACGTTGTAAAACTTGTTTGTATGGTTGCTTGGTGCTAATGCACTTACATAGATATTTCCTGAGCTTATATCAGCTTGGTAAAAAAAGTTCTGTCGCAATTTTGACATGAACCCATCTGAGAGTAGGTTTTCAGTACTTACCATAAAATAACCATTAATTCTGACATTCCAAAGTTTCTTGTTTCTTTCTTTGCAGAATATTTAAGATAGATTTTGCATGGATTTTAATCTTAAAAATTAATTTAGAACAAGACCATATCAGGCACTGAATCCTTTAGGAATTGGAATTAGTAATTAGTCTTTTTTTCCAACTTTCCTTTTTTACCTTAAGATCAAAATTTTGTTATTAATCTCAGATTCTTTCAACAAGACGCAATTACTTTTTATCTTTATATGTATCAAGAGTATATATATATATATATATATATATATATATATATATATATATATGAAGAAAATTTGCAAAAAACAAACAAAAATCCTTAATAAACCTTTTTCAAGACAATATTCATTAAAATACAATTCAGTTCAATTTGACAAAGACGATGGACATAAAAAACAAGTCTTATCCAAAACAGATAACTGAAAATTTTTAAAATTTCCGTTTAACAAGGTCACGTTGTCGTCACTTTGTCAAATTGAACTGAATTGTATTTTAATGAATATTGTCTTGAAAAAGGTTTATTAAACCGAAACGTCAGACGTCGATATTTCATTCATTTTAAACAACATAATTGCATTTAAGGATTTTTGTTTGTTTTTTCCAAATTTTCTTCATTCTGTCGTATTTATATCCATTTATATTTATATATATATATATATATATATATATATATATATATATATATATATATAATCCAGACGGTTCCAATACAGATATAGATAAAACAAACAAGTATAGAAAGAGACAGGCTCCCTTCAAGTCTCAAGTCAGGAAGTGATAAGTTAGGGTAATTAATTTGATTTACATTATCCACCTATCATCAGGGGTCCCAAGACATTTTCCTCACATACTTTTGTTTTTCTTTCATAAACTTTCTGTAGCAAAACGCGTATATGATATAAAAATGTTTTACTTTTGACGATAATAAACTTCTAAAATTTATTAAGGAATATTTTCGTAATTTTTAAAGATTACTGAGTACTTAAAAATATATATTAAAAAAAAGGTGCTCACGGTTATGTTTCTAGATTATGTTTTGCAGATAAAGTCTTCATAGATCATTAGATCCATCATCAGGCTGTCAACATGTCAAAACAGCTACTGTTGGGTTAAAAATGTATTTATGCGATATTTTAAATTTAAAGTAAATAATATTTATTTCAAATCAGATTAATTATACTTTAAAACAACTAATATATATATATATATATAGTTTATAAAAAACTCGGTAATCCGTATGGGTAAACCTAAGGAGGATAAAATCCAGAGAGCTCAATGTAAATCCAGAGCAAATAATTTAAATAAAAACAGACCACTTTAAGGTTCCATGTAATAAATTATTTCACCACAGCCCTTTTAAAAGGACTGCGGATCATCAGACTTTACTTTCAAACAAAAAAAATGAAAAAAAAATTTACACATTTTTGACGGGCCGTATTAAACATATGTAAATTAACGAAGTCAGTAAGTGAGGGGGGAGAGAGAAGATATGAGTGAGTTAGCAGATATTGACACATTTAAACGGTTAACTTAACGGAAGTTATATATTAATATCGAAGGGGTAGAGAAGAAAAAACCATAGAGAGAAAAAGAGAGAAGGAAGTTATGAGAGAAGGTGTCACTAAATTTCTTTCTAAAAAAAGGCTTGAAACAGATGCTGTTATTTCGTTTAACTTTGAAAGTGTTATTTTGGGGGTTCATGCACACACACACACACAGACATATATATATATATATATATATATATATATATATATATATATAACTTTACTAATTTATTTTTTGTAAGAATGATTCATTATAATATAAATAAAGCTGCACCACATATTTGATTTAAAAGAACTGAACCGACCTGCAAATTTTCGGGATAACAACTGAGACATTACTCTACTTATTGAACAATTTTGTTCATGCCAGATTGACTGATAAACTCCTGCAACAACAACAAAAAAAAATAAATAAAAAATAAAAATATTCTCAAATTGCCATATTAGTAAAAAACGCAATCAGATTTTTTTAAAAATTCAACTTTAGCGTTGCAACTGCACGCTCCACAAGTTTGTATCCGTTATCAATAACACATTAAAAAAAGAAAAAAAAAAAACATATTTCGATTCGCATTATAATTTTTCGTCTCGGATACTACCTGAATTTTACCAAAAACAAAATAATTTCTATTCCTGACGATGACTCGGTAGTGGATGCGCACTGCTGATGAGTCCCAAATATAGGACGAAACGGCCGTCCAGTGCTTTCTGCATTCTGTTGAGATTTCTTTCAGACTCGATGAATTAATTAAATATAATTATCAAATCCCCCTAATAATTTCTATATATATATATATATATATATATATATATATATATATATATATATATATATATATATATATGTATAACAAAAGGTGGTCCACGTGTGCTTCTTTATAATATGAAGATTTAATAATCTGGTTAACAGAATTTACGGAATAAAAAGCCAACTAAATGAAACCATTATTGGCCATAAAATATTTATTATATATTAAGCTTTTGAATAAATTGACCACGAAGAGAATATTTTAAAGTCAGAATCACGTCTGTGTTCTTTTTCATATATATATATATATATATATATATTTCATGTGAGTTTTCGTGTAGGATAACCAATCATTCTCGGGGCTTTAACAATGCAGTCAATCGACAACCAATCGGCTGAAACTAACCAAACACAAAGGCCGATAAAGTAAAACGAGAGGAAATTGTTCCATCAAGTCGTTTAATTCCTTTTGAGTTAATTGCCCGTCACAAAACGACATTAGACAAACGATTAATCACCCCAAAATGTTAATTGCTCGTGCAGCTTCTCTCCACGAGGATCGTTTGAACTTTGCTTCTATCGGCAAAGCAATGCAGTACGCATTTTCCCTAAAGATGCATATCGTGCTGTACGCGCTTTCGCTCATATTAAATATCATCAACTATCTATCTATCTATCTATCTATCTATCTATCTATCTATCTCAGTCTGTTTCCCTGTTTCTTTCTATCTATCTATCTATCTATCTATCTATCTATCTATCTATCTATCTATCTATCTATCTATCTCAGTCAGTTCATTATCTATCTATCTGGGTATCTATCTATTTCAGTCTGTTCATTATCTATCTATCTATCTATCTATCTATCTATCTATCTATCTATCTATCTATCTATCTATCTATCTAATCTGCTTCCTCTCTCTCTATATATGTAAGCAAATATATGGATATCGATCCGACAGTATGAAGAAAAATATATGGAAAAACAAAAATCCGAATATGCAAATAATGTTGTAATAAATAATAGTTTTAATGTTGTTTCAATGTCGACGTCAGACGTTTCGGTCTAGTAGACCTTCTTCAGGACATAATTATTAAAACATAATTAACATTAGACGATTGCGAAACGGAAAGCTGATCTTAAAAATTTCAGTTATTCTGTTTTGATTAGTCTTATGTCTATCGTCTTTTCATGTTGACTTGAATATCGTCTAATTTTTCATTTTAACCTTCAGGGGAAGTGACTCATTGCATCTTCTCGGATTAATATTACCATTGACACGATATGAAAAGATTGAATCAATTGCTATGTCTGCAGCTAGGAAAGTCAGTTCATTGTAAATTTTCTCGCCAGAATCTATCTTCCTCACGTTTCTCACAGACTTGAAGAGAAACGACTACAGCCAAACAATAGCTTCATCTAGTGCTAGGAAAGTTGGCTCACTGTGCCGTGCCAAAAGATTTTTCTCGTCAGAATCCATCTTTCACATTTATAAATCTATCATTCGTCCTTGCATTGAATACTGTTGCCATATCTGGTCTGGTGCTCCTGTTATTCATCTCAAGGTTCTTGACAAAATTCAAAGAAGGATCTGCAAATGTAATCGATCCTGACCAATCACATTCTCACCGGCGTGGCATCGCTTTCCTCTGTCTTTTCTACGAATATTTCCCTAACAACTTGTTGTATCCTTAAGAAAAGGTTACAAACAGATAAATGTGGTACTCGAGTAGAAGGAAGAGCATCACGGGCGTAGATAAAAGAAAGAAAGGTTTATTGTAAAAGAGAATACACTACTGAAAGACAGGGATTCGACCAACACTTCCTGAAGCCAGTCAGACTGTTAGACAGACAGATAGACTCTGGTATATCCTGTGCACACTACATATTTTACTGACATAGTCAGTCCACAGTAGGTAATAGGGACAGTGGAACATTTCATTACAACATTTAATTAATATATAGTTTTAGATATCTGAAGTAGATTTCTAGCTGAAAATGTTTATTCCTAAACGTTTATGCAGAAACCTGGCTTATGTATAATTCTTTTTTACTTATAAGATAACTTCTATTAGGTTGGTGCGAAAATAATGACGTAATAATGTCGCTTTTTGACGTATTTTTTAAGGTCAAAAAACGACATTATTACGTCATTATTTTTGCACCAACCTAATATTACATTCTCGGTCAGGTTAAAAAATATGAAAACGCATAAGCAGCAAAATACAGTATAATTTATTTGATCAGTGGTCACGTTTAATGGAGATTATGAGGTCACTTTTATGGTCCAATTGCTCTTTCTAAGCCTTTTATGTTACCCCCGTGATCTTTAGAATAAATATCATGCTGTGTTTTGCCTGTATTTAGTGCATATTTACAATGTA